CTACTCCACTTTTGAGATAAGTGTGATCAAGTCTCTCCTTATTCACTAGTGAATCACGCAAAAACAACATTTCTACTTCACGTGTGACATATACTTCTGATTTTATGAAACTTTTCTTAATGAAATAAGTAATTGAAACATATATTGATAATTCCCCTATTTTGCTAGTGAAGTATGCCTATTTGTCTCTTATTCACTAGCGAATATGGATTAATGCTTTTCTTAATTCACAAGTGAAACACGGTTCTTCCCCTTACAAACTAGTGAAATACGATTTTTTTTCATTTTCATCATTCACCAGTGGGAAAAGTAACAATACTATATCAAAGTTTTACTTTTTACACAATCAATATACGTAATAAACGTGTCACAACGTTTCAAGACCGACTGATTTCTGAGCTCACTAGATACAATCCAAATATGTGTATCCCGGTCTTGAAACGTTGCGACACGTTTAATACGTATATTGTTTGTGTAAAAAATAAAACTTTGATATCGCATATTTCCAAACTGATGAATCTGATCGAAGAAGTAACAATATTTTTTTAATTATTAGTGAAATACTTACATGTATTCCTCCCCCCCCCCCCTAATATGTATTTTTTACATATTTTTCTAGTGAAATATGAAACAATATTTTTTGTCTTTATTCACTTGTTACATACGCATATTTTCTTCATTCGGTAATGAATGGCATCAACGGAAACAAACAACGTATGACATCGAATCCTCAAACTGAAATGTCAATCAACATGAAACAAGTGGAAAACTGTAACGAAATAGGGACAATTTTCCTTAATTATATCGAAACAATCACTACACAACTGAATTGAAATCCATTAACTTTAATTATCTGTTTATAGCTCATTTTGATGTATCAAATCAGCGTTACCTTCCGTAATAGGCAATCCTTATAGGTTCAATTTGATCCGTGTCATCATTCCAGCTTACGTATGTCAAACATTACTGGTAAATCACACCAGTTTTCAATTTGGTTCATTGTTTTCTTTTTCGAATGATTTCCCCTGTGTATTGTACTTTTCAAGTAGGGATAAGAATTGGGAGTTATGTCCCTTTGTAGGGATTCTTTGTGTCTTTGACAAATATGGAAACAAAGATAATTAATCAATACGGTCAAATCTTCATTGAGAGATAACTTTAGGGAGGAATAAAAAGTGGTCTCTTACGGATTCCCGTACCACTGCCCAGGGCTGTAACTACGCACTTGGCACTTGTTTTGGTACGACTAGAACTATATAGCGTTGATAAATTATTTATGAAAAAGTAAATCATACCTTGTGGGAATTTTATCAAAAAAACAACAGAGATGAAATAAAGAATATATATCAACAACAGTGTTCTGAGTTTCAAAAATCAGTAGGGCTAGATCGGGATTCGAACAGTGGATCATTTCAGATTATAACATCGCTCTAACCGACTGGGCTACCAGCTGGTCAATGGAAGTGTCAAGGCCCAGATGTACTACAGTTATATCAAAAAAGAAATTACGGGGAGGTTATCGTAATATATATATATATAAACAACAGTGTCGTGTACTGAGTTTGCGATGTGAGAGGATTATTTAGAGATTAAATGAAACAGCTTCACTCGTCAACATTCCATTTTATTCCCGGAAACAGGAAGTCAACATCAAAACATAGAAACAAGATACGGAGACGGAATACCATAATACACAAAACGGTCAATTCCGGATATTCTATTGGCGATTATAATAATATAAACCATGTATATAACAGACAATGGTTTTTTAACAGAGTGTCAATATATAGAAAACTGTCTTTTGGGGATGAGAAAATTAGGATTTCTTTGGAGAGAGGATTGCTTAAAGGGATCAATTTTGTGAAGTAAGGTTTTTTTATAGCTTTGTCACAAAACTCTTCATGATTATATAGTTTGATACTCCCTACGAACAATTCATGTCAAAAATTGACAAGAGACATGTTTTCTTGTCGTTTTTAATCAGTAATGGAGAAATTCTTAACTGTACAGCCGTACGTTTTAGCGGCAGCAGTCAGTGAAATTCTAGCTATCAAAAATGTCTTTCCAGCCGAGGAAAAAAGGTAACTTCTCGCTTTGATTTTGCCTAGCCTCTCTGAATACAAGTATATGCATCTATTTTCAATCAAAAGCATCTTCCAACAGCATCTAAAACATCGTTTTCAATGAGTGATCTATTTTAGATATCGAACTTTCTGCGGTTTGAAGTTCTCCCTGCGGCACCCTCTCAGTGCGTGCATGCTCTAATTGAACCTGTTCGTTCTTATTCAAATTCAAATGTGAACAGAACTATCTAATTAGAAAAAATATCTTTAGATATTTATAATTCTTACTTGCTATGCATTGTGTAAATTCAAGAATGATTTATATGTGAAATCGGACTCATAACAATTGTGTTGTCGGTCGACAGCGTAGTGCTGTACATGTTTACTGCTCACTGAAAGGCCCGGATGTTGCGCTATTTCGGTCGTAGCTATTTTTATTACCGGCTTTCCTAAAAGATGAAACTGACCACGCTTATCAACTATGTAAACTTTCGTTAGGAGATATATATTTTCAGTATCGACTTGATTTTCAGGTAATTAAAAAAACTTCCTTCAATAGATTGCCCTTTTAATAGGAGGTGACTCTCGATCAAATTCTTATGTAATTAATATAATCTTTCATGTCATATAGATTTTCGGATACTTTTTCTGTCGTCCGGATCCATGTCGTTTTGATTTACAATATGTAACGCGTTTTTTAAGAGTCCAATTTAGATTGCTTGAATTGCAGAACGAATTTCTCTGTGATCAATTTAAAGGGATACTTTGTAGTATGCTCAACGTGAACATATTCATCTAACTGGAGTAAAGAAAATCGCGTACACTAAATATCATAATTATATACCGAATACTTAACATGCAACATGCCATTCGGGTTGATATGTCTCGCCTGTGCCCCGCTTTTACCACCAATGCAGATATCGGTGAAATGCATTCAATGTAGACGATATTTGAAATAAAACTAACTTAAACGCAAAAACTTCAAGTTGATGGAGATGCTGACAAAGTCAATGGACCATAAAAAGTAGGTCGCATCCAGCATTTGATGCTCAGGCTGAGTTTTTCTTCCTAAGATGCATCTATGGTCCAAGTTTGGTTGGTCTAGCACGTATAATTTCAGTGAAACTAACTTAAACGCAAAAAGCTTAATGTTGACGCCGCGGCCGTTGCCGGAAAAGCAACACCTTTTAGTCTGGCGTCAGCTACTTCGTGGCGGCGAGACAAAAACTGAGCAAGCTATATATACAGTCGAACCTCGTTATCTCGAAGTCGACGGGGTCGTAGGAAAACTTCGAGTTATCCGAGTATTCGAGTTATGCGGGTTCATACATTTGGTAAGAAATTTGCCGTTTGGACTAGCAGTATTAATAGCAGTTGTTGGTTTTATGAATAGCCTATGCTTATAATCAATCGATGAATGCTATACGTAATCAGTATAACAAATATAGCTATATAATTTTACAATAAAAACGCTTACAAAAATAGAGTAAGTTATTTCAGAAAAACGTACTTCCGTTTTTAAACGCGATCAAAACAGTTGTGAATTCGTTATTAGATATGGACGGGCCGAGTGATTAAATGTTGTTTTTTGCTAGTTTAGTGTACATGTATGTGTAAAGATTTACTTTCAAAACTTGATGATTTTTCAGCTTTTGCGTAAATTTGAGCATGCAATGTATTGATCAAGGGAAGTGTAGTCGATAAATTTATGACTTTGTAATGTAACGCAGAAAATAGACAGTATCGACTACATTTTCCCAAAGTATTCTCACAAGATCCATAAGGTCACGTAGAATTCATTCTATTTTTGTACCTATATGTGATGCAATAAATCTGTAACGTACATCTTTATTTTCTAATGAATTGTGTTAATGCCACCTTATATGTTTCCAATAGAACAGTTTCATGGTCTTTTCTAGTCAAGTTATGTCCCCGTATTGATGACAGCGTCGATGATATACATGCATGTATATGTCTTTTTTAATTTCTAATTTGATTTTTTTAATTATACTAATTTAAATAAATTATTATTTGGCCAGCTTTTCTTTCACTGTCACTATTAATGCAATCACCTTAATCGTATATTTGAGTTCGTATGTCAAATAGATTAAAAATTCCATCAAATCTAATTATGTGATATTTTCTTTTGAAATTTTATACACATGTAAACTACAAATCCCTTTCTTGGATTCAAAAAAGTCACTGTTACAAAACCCCACAAAGTAAAAACATTTTGTTTGCATTAAAATTACATGAAATGATCTTAGTAACTGAAACGTATCCTTATTTAAACTAATACTTATACTTGATAAATTTACGGTTTAGGGTCCCTGTAAGTCTCGCGAAACTCTGTTAACAGTATTTTTCGCGGTTTTTAATTTTCGCGCTTTCAGATTAGGTAGCCATTGCACCAAGTGTTATGGTAAAGATGGATGGAGTTTCTATTTTCTCTTGATGTATTTTTTTGCTGATAAAGTTGTACACAAAAAATAAAATGAATAAATAAATAGACAAACAAATAGAAATAAGAGAGAATAAAAAAACCTCACAGTAACATCGCTGCATACGTAAATATGTACGTCCAGATACAACAGGTACATTTGTACAACTAGTGAATGCTTTGTATGATACATGTACATCTGGTGTCTGTTTAACAAAGTGTCAATGAAGTATTATTAGGACTAGCCGTACAAAATGTAACTTGATTTAATTAGTGAGTTGTGTGACTGTGTAGCAGTGGTTATTTGTTTGAGTGACCACAGCGAACAATGGCGGCAACATCCAATATACCGATACGTCATAGCGCAAGCATTGTGGGTGTACGATCAGAGTTGACGCCCTCTGTTCCACACTCATCAAGTGAAAGTCTCCCTGATTGGTTACGTGTGTGTCTTATATGAGAACTCATTTGATTGGCCTGAGAATTTAGATTCATCTAATCAAAACATCTGAAGTTGTCGTCTGCCTTTTACTACGCTTTGTTATATGAATGATGTATCAGCCTACTACGCGAACGCGCGTGCTATATAAGGCGCGGGAAACCCAGCTTCAGTAAGTGACACGCGGAGAGGGTTAGAACGAGCAATATATTGCTGAAAGTGAAACGACTCGTGGGAAAACATCATGGATTCTTTAACCGTAGGAATTCTAAGCTTTATTTTAACATTCAACGTGCTATCTGCATCCAGTGATACAGACATTATGGATAAGCGCAGACCCGGATGGGGAAAACGAGATGGTCAGTCGGAGGAGTCCACGATTGAAGAGTTCGGAGAACCCGACAAACGTAGTCCTGGATGGGGAAAACGGGATTCCACAGATTTCTTAGATAATTCTCTTGATAAACGTCGCCCTGGATGGGGCAAACGTAGTGACATTTTGGACAGGATCGCGATGCTGAAAAGGAGACCCGGTTGGGGAAAAAGAACCGTATCGGACTTTTCCGATTTAGATAAAAGAAGGCCAGGATGGGGAAAAAGGGATTCCGAAGGAATCGACATGGAAATAAGGGCACCAGGATGGGGGAAAAGGAACTCCATTGATGACAGAGAATTTTCTCTATATGACAAAAGGCGACCAGGATGGGGGAAACGTTCCGACAATATAGAGTTAGAAACACGAAGACCCGGATGGGGAAAACGAGCACCCGGATGGGGAAAAAGATCCATGGATGTTTGTCTGTCTATGAAGGAAAAAGCTGAATATTTAATAAACTCCGCTATTGAGGTAAGTTACACTTTCTTGCAGTTTATTATTTTTATCTAAGACATGCCAGAACTGGTAAATATTAAATAGCGCATTTAATCTGCTTGTCAACGAAACAAAACAATGAAATATGGTCTTTTCAACCTTTTACATGTAATAAGATATCAAAAAAATATTTTTCTGAAATAAGTTTTGCGTTTTTATTACACAGAAATAACCCACTAGCCTCGCAAGTATAATCCCAGCCGTTAATTTGAAAATCAGGGTATACAATATGTACATGTGTAATGTACGATGTATCGACTATTAACACTGCCATAGCTGCTACATAGAGAATGACATATTGCTATTTAACCAGTCTTCTTTTTTTCATAGATTTTTTATAGAAAAGTTTGGCTGCTTTAGACTTTTAACACCAACCATTTATTCACATACTTCGCTCACTTAATTACACTAATTGACCTCTAAGTGCATGCTTTAAAACATCGTGTTTTGTTTGTTGAAATCGGTTAAATCGCCGAAGATGATTTTCTATAACAAAAAGTTATTTTTATTGCTTAATCAGCAATTTCACAAGGAAAACAATACCTTCATGTAACTTAAATGTAAAAACTATGCTACACCTTTTCAAAACATATGTAAGCAGTATCCTTTTTTATGAAAGTGAAATTGTTGTGTGCACAGAGCTCCAGAGATTGAAAGTGTACATTTACATTTTTGTAAGAAATTACTTAAAGTGAAGAAATTGGCCAATAACAATATATGGTTTATCTTGAATTGGGACGATTACCTCTAGTTTGGATGAGAAAAATTAGAATGTTGAAATATTGGTTTATGATCTTAAAATCTTAAAATTGTATCATATCCACTTCCTATAGATTTGTATTACAATGTTGTAGTAAAAATGATTTCAACTGGGCTAAAATAGTAAGAGATGAATTAAATAATCTAGGTCTTAGTGATGTTTGGTCAAATCCATGTATTTCTCAGCATAATATGTTATTACCATTGATAAAACAAAGAATTTTTGATCAAGGCATACAATCTCTAAGGGCCTCAGTGGAAAACTCTCCAAAATGTTTATTGTATAAAAATATCATAGATTTTGGAGAATCATTACAATTTTACCTCACAAAATATATACCAATGAAATATCGCATTTGTTTTACTCAAATCCGTACATCTACACATTCTTTGGCTGTAGAAGTTTGAAGGTATATAATAATATACCTAGAGAACGTAGATATTGTAAACAGTGTAACTCCCCCTCTGAAGTAGAGGACGGATTCCATTTTTTATTAGTCTGTTCTAAATTCCAAAATCTCAGATCACGTTTTATCAAAAGATATTATTGGAAAAAAACATCTGTGTTTAAAGTCGTTCAGTTATTGAGTGTCCATAATATTAAAGAATTGTGTATACTAGGAAAATTCATCTATGAGGCAAACAAATTAAGGGTATTATAATGGAATATGTTTGTCTTCATTCTCTGTACATTGTCCATGATTTGTGTATAAGATGTATTGCATACTGATGGTCCGTTCGGCGAAAAAAAAATGGACCTTTTTGTTTTGCTAAAAAACATAAAATAATTGTGAAATGCACTAATGTAAAGGTTCCTGACTTGGAGCATGTATATTTTATAGTTAAAGTGTCAGGGTTTGACATTTTTTATGCCGAATTCTCTACATTAATTGTCTATCGTATATTAATATGATTGGATGGATCTTAACAGCAGTAGACCAATAACGAAAAATTCCAAATTCTAGGATATAAGGCGTTACTTAACATTTCAAAAGACCTAGGCCAGGAATTTACATTTTATATGAACGGGAGGCGTAATTACGGTTGCCCTGGTAGAGGGTCCGTTGGGAAGCTCAGAAGCTCCTGGATTTCAATAATTAAGCATCAAATTATGAAGTAGCCAGACTGATAAATATCTCTCTATTTTAGATTAAGTTCTGGTTTCGTTGAACGACACACATGATACAAGACAAACAAACACTGAAGTATAAAGTTCTTTCGTTCTAAAAATATTGTAGGCTTTAATGTGAAATACATGATTGAATATGATAAATTGCCATATTCAATACAATATTAGAAGATTACGATAGGTGTTTTTTTGGGTTGTTTTTTTTTAAAGGGGGGGGG